GTTTAATCTATGGAGTATTCCAAATGTTTGAAATAAAATAATTTTAAAGTCGTTTGTAATTGCTTGTTTATAAATTAAAACAAAAATGTTTGAAGATAAGGTATTGCATAATTGCAGGTACGATTGCAGTATTATGTTCTCACATCCAAGAAACATTGAAAAAAATGATAATTGTGAAGCATCTACTGTTAACGAACAAGTTCACAATTTAGTCAGCATGGATACTGTTCAAGAACAATTCTGCAGCAACAGTAAAGAGAGTTATAATTACAAAAACATATGTAATATTGATGGAGAAATAAATGGAATCAGCAAAAGTTGCAGTCCAGTCTCAGTTCAAATGGAAGATATTCTTGCTGAAGTGGAAAGAAGTAGGAAACTTATTAAATATTTTAATTTTTTCCATTTACAATTTTTTATCAAACTCGACACACTTCGCCTCTGCTCGAGAGGAGAGTCAGAGAGTATGTGTGACAAACTGTGTTTGAGTGTTATACTGTGTCGATTTGTGTCTCCTAAAAGGAAAGCAGCCTATGTAAATAATATTTTAAAATATTAAACAATAATCTTATGTGCCAAAGCACATATATATCATTATATGCAATTAAAATGTTTAAACTTACGCATAAAAAATGGTAACATAAAACTTTCATTTGCCTAGGATAGAACGTGTAAGATAATGTGAGATAGAATTGTAGGATAAAATGAAATAGAAGTATGTCACTAGTATTATAAATGGCTGCCAAGCCACGTGACTGTAACAGCGAATCAGAATGCGGAACACCGGTTGCGCTTCTCTGATATCTAGGACTCTAGATCCGAGTAATTTTGTATATGGCGGGATATTTTAAACTGTGAGGACGTTATTTATGGCTAAACTAATATTATATACTTTTGAAACTTAAAGTGAGATAGTTATAGCAGGAGATACGATAGTGTCTCGGCGCTAAGCTAAGAGCATTTTAATATTTGGCGAAAGCGAAAAAGAGAGTTCTAGTGCAGTATAGTGTAGGAATAAAATACTTTGACAGAAAAACACCTTGGGCGTGCAATGGAGCGTAAATTTATTAAAAAAAAGACACATGTTATGCACTAATAATGATAACAAGGGGATGCATAATTCCCGAGGAAATTTTTTAATTTATGATATGATCGGTAAGCAATAAATTTATAGTTTACGAGTACTTATATCTTTTAACCTAAACACATTTGTTGTTAGAAATATTTGTAAGAATTAAGTATGTAACTTTTTTCTAGATAAAACTTTAATATCAGTACCTATTTCTGAAGAATCTGTGGCATCTTTTAGGCTACAAGAAATTATTGTAGGCCATAATGAGCCCAAAAGTCTTGTTACTGAGTCTGGTAGTAATACATTAATGAGTACGCAGTCATCAACACAGCAATATACAAATTGTTATGACATTATGTTTCTTTGATAATGTACTTTTGATAATGTTACAATTATAGAATATTTAAAATCAAACTTGTTTTTGCAAAACAATAATATGAAGGAAAATTTTAATAAAATTACATCAACAATGGATATATAACTGAGAATAAAACTAAAGATTACATCAAGATCTCATCATCACTACTTTCTGGATATAAGTTATTTAAGGTATTCTGTATTAATTCTTGTCCAGCAGTTACGGCACAAGCTATAATAATATTTGCGCGAGATTGTCCCTGGTCTGCCATTTTTTATTTATTTGACCGATTTGCCGTTCGAAAACTTCGCAATCGAGGTGCACCTTGCCCCCACCACCATTTACCCGGTACTACCCTCAGGGCAACGTTTCCGAACGCAGCCTAATACGATAAAAGGGTGAAAAAAAGAGCGCATCTAATTTGCATAGACTTTATTTTTATTTTTTTTTTGCTTTTTACATTTGCTGCTTCCTACAATCTAATTCCCGTAATGCGGGTGAAACGAGAGAAAGAAGAAAAGCTTCGCTTGAGCGTTCGGGACACGTCTTTGTTCCCGTTTTTACGCAAAAATTTGTTAAGCGGTATCATTGCTTATGGATGCGCAAGTTATGAAATCGTAAATAAAACAGCTTCTACAAGATTATTCAAGGAAATATTCAAATGCTGTTCGCAAATTTTTTTCATAATAAAACATTTGTAACATTAAAATAAAAGTAATAACAATATATCAATTCTCTTCTCTAATTTATTTAAATAGCCCGATAGATTTATATTAGCGCTTGTATTGAAATAAATGACTAAGAAAGAAAATATTTGAGTATATGAAAATATTTGTAAAATATTTTAAGATTAAAAGAAGATAAGTTTTACGAGATAACCGCAATTCTGGTAAAATTTGGTCGCCAAATAACAGCGGGAATCGATTTCATAATATCATGTGGGAATTTTAGCGATTAAAA